ATCAATCAATGCCTTTCACCCCTGGCAAGGTATAGGCCACATGCAAGCTCCTTCCATTTATCTCTGTCCTGAGCCATCCTTCCAAGCTCGTTCCAAGTGAGCTTCATTTCTCTCATGTCCCTTTCCACGCATCTCCTCCATGTTTCCCGTGGCCTACCCCTGCCTCGTGCTCATTGTGGGTTCCACTGCAGTGACTGTCTTGTGATGTTTCCGCTGGGCTTTCTTAAGGTGTGTCCCATCCATTGCCACTTTCTTAGTCCTATTTCTACTTCTATATCCTTTTGTCCTGTCCTTTCCCACAGCTCTTCATTTCTTATTCTATCCTGCCACTTAGTTCTTAGAATACTCCTCATACATCTCTTTATTCAGTACTGTCTCCGTTGTCTTCCAAGTTTCGCAGCCGCAGAGGAGCACAGACTTGACGTTGGAGTTAAAGAGTCGAATCTTGGTGCGCAGTGAGATGTTGCTTGCTTTCCAGACTTTTGATAATTGTTTGAAGGCTGACCTTGCCTTGGCGGTTCTTGCTTTAACATCTGCCTCGGTTCCACCTTTACCATCGATGACACTTCCAAGGTAGGTAAAGGAGTCTACTTCTTCCAGGGGAGTGTCTTCCACTGTCACAGCAGGGCTTGAAACTTTTCCTAGCTTCACTGCTTTTGACTTGCCTGGATGTATACGTAGGCCAACACTCGTACTGCCTTACCTGGTAACATGTAAAATTCAATAAGGTATATAGACTGTCGATTCAGTCAAATTTCATTTCTTGGCAATTTTGCATTTCCTGTCATTTATGTTAAGACTTCAATTTGCTACAACATGTGATCATCAATTCTATTTAAAAAATGGGTCACATCTCAAGAGAGCAAGGATACAAAAAGAGGGACTTATTTTGGCTCACAAACACAGGTCTTTACTTTAAACTATATTATAATGATACAATTCTATATCAATACTGTATATATAGCCTTGAATATTACTGACAGTCCTACTGCATAGGCCTAGATATATACAACCAACTGTGCATTTCTTCTATCTATTGTAAAGTTACGTACTGACATTGAACGACTAATATAATTTCAGAAGCAGGCCCAGTTCTAAGTTAAACACTTTGCAGGCTTCACACAGCCAGCAGTACAATAATATGTACCCCAATCGGGCCCATCAGGTCACCCAGCCAGGAGATCGACTGCAACAGACTTCTTGGGCCTGGCGCAGGTAACTGGAACTGACAATTTTCACTGTCACATTTAGCAATGACCACGAAAAAACTTTTTTGCCAGAAAGTGTTTGCAAATAGGTGCATTTTGTAGCTCTATCTTCACAGAGCAATGAACTTTTTGAATTTTTGAAATCCACAAATAAACAAAAAAGTTACCAATTTTTTAATCAATTAATTTTTGGTACACTTTTATGAAAAAAACACCAAAATATGGGACGTTCTTTGGTGAGTTTTGAGACAATATTCGTCATAACTCGCTCATTTCTCA